TTTGCCTAATTTTTTTATAAGTTTCATAATTACGCAAATAGTTGCACGTGAGGTACCCTCTTCCTCAGGACTTCTCTGTGGGCTACAGAACAACCAGCTGTGATTTATACTATAAAAAACCAGGACCCAAGTGCAATAATAACCCTCAATCTTTAATGTATGTAGTTATTATGTAGTTATTATTATGGACATTTCTTTGTGTATTAAGTCATGCAATCATCAACTATGATTTTCCCTATTATGCCGCAGGAGTGAAGAATCAAAGTTAAATACAACATGCCCCTTACTGCCTTGGTTAGGGGTAAACAAAGAAACATTCTGTCAGGACAAAGTTATCCTTTATCTATAATACTCTGTTAAATCAGCTGATTCTATCATATTGTTGCTGGCCAACTCATTTATCCTAGCCCTCAATTTCTGTCCCAAGAATTATTCCAAGTTTATTATGGCAGTGTGTGCACTGATTCCATTTGAGGTTGCCAGCATTATTTATAATTTTATAATTCCTATTTTTGTTACATTTTAGGCTATCAACAGATAAAAATGGCATAGTGGGTTTAATAATGGTGGGGTAGAGAATTTCAGCACATAGTATGTGTACTGTTCTGAGTGCTTTGTACACACTCATTTAATTGACAGTAATATGATATGTCATCACTAAAATTACTGCATTTTGTAGAGAAACAAAACAAAATTGAGCTTAGAGGACAGGCGATCCACTCAAAGTCACAGTCCTCCAAAGTACAAGTTTAGATCAGCAGTAGTTGTGATCAGAGGAAGTAGGTGATAAGGTAGGCGACAGCAAAGACAGCAAGAAGTGAGGGTTTCTTCTATCTTATTTCCATAGGCAGAAAAAAATCTGGTCAAATTTAGAAATTGTACTTTTACCTATATTTAGTCCCTATTCATCTTGCTCTCAACCTTTATATAATTTTAGCATGACTTCCCACTTTATGAAGGAGTACTTGAAGTCTGCATGCTGATTAGTTATAAAGTTTTCTTTGTCAGTGGTGGGGGATGGAAGTGTGTGCATTTATGGGGTAATGGAATATTTAAAATTTCTTCATATTATTTTTCTCAGAACTTGTGCTTGTAACGGAAATTTCTCAACATGAAATGTCATCAATTTGGTCTCACTCAGGAAGTTGCAAGGCGTTTGACTGTAACCTCAGTGAATTGGACGTTGTCTAAAATTTGATCATCTCTAGCTGACTTTTTTTTTAAAAGAAAGTTTAAAAGTCATTTCTTAAATTATTTCTTAACTAATCCTCATCTAAGACATCCCATATTTATATTAAGTCAATGTAATCAACGTCTAGGCAAGTTGACTTAAACTTTTTTTTAAGTAAAAGAAATACTTAAGTTTTACATTTTCTTTAGGAAATATCAGGAAACACAGAATATTATTTCAGATTCCAGGTAACAACACTATGCTGTTAATCGCTAGTATAGTTGTCTAAATTCATGATATATATAATCCCACATGAAGTGGCCAGGCCAGGAGTAACCCATATATCTACTTCTTTTCTCTTATTTTCCACAGTAGAAACTATAGTGTTTCAGTTTTAAATATCCAACACAACTGTCTCCATCACAGCCCCACTCCTGTTAAGGCTACCACACTGCATAGATTATTCTGGGGCCTACTTGGACACTGCACAGCCACTGAACATAATTTTTAAACTTTAATCAACTTGCTGCCTTGGGGAGGTCAACTTTATGAGGGTACTGCTTTATGAAAATGCCAGCAAATTGTAGGTTGGGAAGCAGCTTAGGGAGCTACTTGCAAAATAGGGGAAAATTACCTGTGAAGTATACTCAGCCACAACTGCACTCCCTTCAGAATGAAGGTTTGGTACCCAATCAAGCTTTAGGGAAATGCTTCTGAGAAGACATTCTGCAGAGGCCTTGAGATTGAAGTTGAGGGAGAGACTGGAATCCTGTAGAGAGGAAAGGAGGGAAAGAAGGTCAGACACAATAAGGTTCAAGTTGCCGAAGGACAGCCCCATTACAGAGCACAGTACTGAAAAGGACACATGTGTAGCAAATGAAAAAAAAAAAAAAACAAAAAAATAACTACATCACATTATGCTGCTTTTGCCTTTTATACTAAACTTTGCAGTGCTCACCTCAAGATTCTCTCCCTTGACTGTGTTTCTGCAGCTATCCCTGGCTGGGTGGGCTCACTGTTGGTTTAGTCAGCTTGAAAAGAGAAACTCGGAGCCCTTGGCACCATCCCCACAGTTTTTTAAATAGTACTGAGGGGATAAAAGCCAGCAGGGACACAGCAACTTCGGCTCCCCCTGCAAATCTCTAGATGCTTCTTCCTCTGGGCTTTCCCTGACCGTGGTTTCGTGGTCTCTTCCTCTCACAGCCATCGCTTGTTTTTTCGTATCGTTCCCTGTTGTGTTTTCCGCTGCCCTTATAGCCTCAGCCTTGAGGCTCAGGTGTGCCCACTTATGCGTACCCACACCATACTCCAGGTGTCCACAGTCAGGCATTCGTGCCCCAAGCCCACCCTCCCAAGTGCCTCCTGTATGAGCACTTTCAAGCTGCACGTGATAGCCCCGAGACCAGCAGCACAAAACCCTGACCGATCTTCATTTACATAAAACCATAACCATAGCACCATAACCATAACACCATAACACCTGGATAAAGAGCAATAGAAAGGAAAGAAATAGTTCTTTCAAGATTGTGATCAGTCAAGAAATTTAGGCCTTCTGTTGCTTTGACTGGGACAGTAAAGAATGATAGTGGTTAGAGGATTGACATTTTACTGTCACCAGATGATCACATACTGGCTTTGTTTTTCTAGTTTGAAACCTGGTGAGAATCCCACTCTCATTCATTTATGTATCCACACAGTAATGCTTAGACTGGGAATGCGTAGGCTGCCAAGATTTGCCAGTTAAAGGTCTTTTGGAACAGATAATCTACATTAGTCTCATTGTAGCTTCTCTATTGGATCCAGCTGAATATTTCTGTCTAGGAAGATTGTAAAAGTGTTCTGGGACACATGATTTTTCTGATTCCAGGGATATCCTATATTAACACACTCAAATATATTGTTCTGTGGTCAGAGAAACTTTATTCCAGGTAGGTGGATTTAATCTTCCTAATATATATTATGATAAATGCATACATGCTCTAACTAACAGTGATACAAGTTGCTTTGGGAACACAGAGAACATCAAAGGGTGTCAGGGAAGGTTTCACAGAGTAAGCAACTTTTGTGATTAAATGGAGAACAGAGGCTTCTAGATATAGAAAATACCAGGGGCCACTCCAGGGAAATAACGAGAGTAAGAAAGGTCACAAAGGGAGTAATAATTCAGGGGTTGTTATGATTCTCTGGGCTGCTTCATCTAGAATGAGAGGTGGGAAAGGAAATAGATAAAATATTTCACAGCGTAGGTAAATGGGAAGTGTGGAAGAAAGATTAATATTTCATTTTACTAGAGAAAGTGAGGAACCCTCCAAAAAATCTAGCTGGAAAGTACATGATTTGATTTAAATGTCTGTTAGAAAAATCTAGAGACTCTCTAGTAGGTGGATCAGACTAAGGTAGCATGTGGAGAACACAGTAGGCAGAAGGCTACTGTTTCATACATGAAATCATGAAGTTCCAGAGTAAGTGAGCAGCCATGGGAATGGATAGAAAACCATGAATGTGAAAGGTTTCTAGAGCTTCCACAGGGCTTGAGTATTATAGAAGCTGAATGAGAAGGATTATCTCATGCAAAATCTAATTTTGAAAAATGATTGCCTGATTCAGATGACCAGCTGAATGTTGTTATGATGAAGGAGAGAGCTAAGGTGGGAATTAAATAATAAAAAGAAAAAAGACAAATTTGTAAAGAAAAATCAAAATAAAGCATTTGGATATAATGTGTAAAGTTCCTAGAGTGCTATGGAATAATTGTGGCCACTGGCTCCCGCCAGCCCCCTCCTCCCTCCTTCCAGTTTGTATGTTGCAATTCTAACCTCCAAGTATGAAGATGTGGCCTTTGGAGATATCAATGAGGTTGTGATGGGATTAGCAAAAACATTCAGAGAATTTATCTCTCCCAAGTGAGGACAAAATGAGAAGGTGGTAAATCAGGAAAAGACCTCTTTCTACAACATAACCATTCTAACGAACTGATATGGGACTTCTGACCTCCAGAACTGTGGGAAAAATAATTCTATTGTTTAAGTTACCCAGATTGTGATGTGTGATTATGGCAGCCTGAGCTGACAAGTACATGGAGGTATCAGGATGTTAAATGATACAGATCTGCGATAGTCAGAGGTGACTGCTTTGAATATATATATATATATATATCAACTTTCTATATAGATATGGATATATATGCACACACATATGAATACATATATATGCACAAATATAACTATTAAACCATGTCTGGTAGTAAATTTTTTATCTAAAGTTCTGTGAAAATACCCTAAGTAAAACTAACCTGGAAAATACCAAATGGACATGGTTAAGGTATTTCAATTAAAAATATTTATATGCTTAAAGATGAAATATGTACAATTATCAAAATTAGCTTTACTAAATCAGAATGGGTGATACATTGCTATCTATACTTTTATATCAGGTAACAGTAAAGAAATCCACAAAATATTACTGAAACTTCACACTGACGCAAGATAAAATTGATGCAATATTAACTCACATTTTCCCTGTAAGTATAAAGCTGAATGTAAATGCTGCCTGGACAGTTAATTAAATTAACAGTTAATTGACACATACTTATTTCTGTTCATTCAGTAAAATACACAAATTCAAAGCTGGCAGGTATGAGGAAAAGATTTTTTTCCATAGCATTTTTCATGTGGCATTTCTAGAATATAGCCAAATCAGCTTATTTTATACATACCAAAGACATACACTTTTTAATACAAACAACAGAAATACTAACATAGATAGCTTTTAAAATAATAAATATACACATTATTTACAATTGGGAATGTTAACAATTACAAACTTCTCTGTACAATTATTTAGATGAAAACATTTTAACTTTAGATTGTTTATAAAGATACTTTTCTTCTTCTCTTTTTCACTTTAAGTTCAAGATGAGTTAGAATAGGATGTATCTGGATGCAGAGTTGAGCATGGGTATTCAGTCACTTGTCTCTGTGATAGTAATCTTCTGTACCATGTCTGACAGATTTTCTGACTCCAGATCTTCTTTGCCATTATCTGAATTTTCTGATGAGATATAGCAACCAGAGTCTCTTGGACAGTCATCTAACTGGGACTTATTTAAGGAGATGTCTGGACTTAAGGATAGGGACACAGATTCATTTTCTTGCTCTTGAATAGCTATAAATGGAAAAGAGTACATCAGTTAAGAAGAGTCAAAAACAATTTTATTCCTGCACTCATTCACCTATTTTAACTGTTCAAATTTAGACTTCATTACAACTAGAACTTTCAGAAATAAATATTTTTTACAAAAGGAATCTTTGCACTCATAACAAGTAGTTGTTCTCTAACAGGCGAAGTTTACTTTGCTGCTCACTTGCAGGCTCATGGAATTCCTGTGAACTGCTTGTATAAGTGAAAATCAATATGGACTCTCACTTTACATTAATGATAAGTTGCCAGAGAAAGCAGATTGTATCCACAGTGTGACTGATGCCTTGTCCAAATACTCTTTAAAGTAACATTAGAAAAAGTCATTTGTAGTTTAAAGTACAAATCAAATCAATAGAGATGTTTGTGAACAATTCTAGAATCATGATAATGTGGATTAATGAATAAAATATTACTATAGGGAACAATAGAGCCAGAGTTCAATTACTTGGAATTTAACTAACAAAACTTGAAGTATTCAGAATTTTCCTGTTTGTATGTATAGGAAAAACAGACACAGAAATCAAGTTGCTTTTAGATAATAAAGCACCAACATTTCTACTGAATGCTCTGTTCTCCACCTCTGTTTGAGTTCTGCGTAACAGTCATTTATGTTCAGGTAATTCTCTGTCATTAAAATAATATTTTAGAGTCAAACAAATATCTTTAAAAAATAATATTGCAGAGGTAATGAAACATGTTTCTGAAGCACCTAAGCAGCCCTATAAAGCTTGTATCTTTTTATTAATTCTCTATATTAGCATTATCTTTGTCAAGGTGAATTTTCTTTATCTTTTCTGACACTGGTAACTGGGTGTTTCTCTGTATCATGAGATGGGTTTCCTTAGAAGAGGTGGATCTTAGGCTACCATCTCTCAACTTAAACAACTTGTCTTGCTTTTCCCCTTCTAATCCTGGGCTTCCCAATTTTGGATATTTGAATAACCCCACATTGAGAAACTCAAACATATGTATTTCAGGGGTTGATAAGGTATCTGCCTCAGAGACTACTTTATTCTAGTGAGGAGAAAACTAAATGTCAATTTCAAAATCCTGGGAAAAGGAGAATTGCTTAGATTTCTTCACTGGACTGTTGTAATATTAAATAATATTTCCTTAGGAAATCTACTCTGTATATTTCATACCCTGTTTTTCAAACGTATTTTCTAGGATGCAGATATCTTGTAAACAGGTTTTTGGTCTATTTGTATCAACCTCTGTTGTAAGAGGGAATTGAGTGCTAGGGCCTTAAGGTATTCTTACATATAATGAGTTAACTTCTCTTCCCTGTATTTAGAGGGAATTAACTTCTCTTCCCTGTACTGAATATGTACCATCGATGGAGAAATTGAGAAAATGTTTTTTTTTAATTATTTTCTATAGTCTGTGGGCTAGATGAAGATCATAGGTTGAGAAAGGCTAGAAAAAAATGATACAAAATCATTTTAGTCTATTTATCTTCACAATAAACCATAACAGTTGTTTTATTCTTTTCCTCAAAGTTTTATTTGCAACAATGAAACTATATTTTTACCATTCTCCAGAATTTTTCCTGTGTTTGCTACAACTTTATTTAGCTATGGAACAGTTATCAGGTATTTTAAATTTGGTGGTATTATAACTAAGTTAGATCTCAGGAGTTTTTAATATAACACCTATAATAAGTATTCTTTTAAAATTTTGATGCCATATAGCATTTTGGTTTATTAATCACAACAACCTTTAGATTTGAGGTAATCTGTGGAATATTTCTTAGACTTTGTGAATGTCTTTTTATTTTTGTTGCTAAGTCTGTCTTTTATGAAAAGGTACCTCTAAAGGGACCTCAGTCTCGAAGGAATAGCTTTCTTTCTTATATCTGTTTCCTGTTTTATTGCCACTGAAATGAAAGGAGCCATCTCTATGTTCCATCATACAGTTGTTTCTGGAAAAGAAATTACTCCTTTTGTATGTTTCCTGCCACATCAGCAGAGATCACCATAGTTGGAATATGACTTTTTCAGTCAGGTTGCCTGTAGGGATAAAGCCATATTTCCCCAGATCATATTTGGGCCTATTACTTCACCATAAAGTTAAAAGTACTTCCCTTCAGACTGATATCCTAAACAGCACTTGGCATCACAAAAAAGGTTTGTTCCTAGTATTTAGGTTGTGGGGCTCTCTTCAGGATATAAAACTCAGGTTTAAATAACTCTAAATTCCAAAGTTATCTCTTTTGCTTTCAAAAAAAAAATAAGCACTTTACTGCTTATTTCATTAGAAGTCTCTATACACTCACCTCAAAGGGTAACAAAGTAAACAAGCAATAAATGAAAAACTGACTTTAACAAAGAAAATAGTTTTTTTATATTAGTAGTGAAATTGTATCTGTTTTTATTTCCTCCTGAAAAGTGCTATATCACGTTCTCTAAATTCTAGGAATTGGCTTATTTTAAATACAGGTTATTTATTGTAGAAATTTTTCATTTGCAATTTTTATGGAAAAAGGAAATAGTTTCTCAGTATGAAAGTGATGCAGCACAGTAATTTACGGAACAGCAGTCATTTGCTAAATGATTTCCTAGTGAAATGAAAGCGTGACTATGCCTCCTCCAATGTTTCCCACCAGGTTTGCAATAATTTCAGGCAGGTGATCAGCTGGAGCCCCTCAACTGTAACTATAAAAAGAAAAGGCAGATTATTGTGTTATATTATAGAAATAAAAGCTGTAGAGCATCCGTTTTGGTATTTGGAGGGTCAAGATTTACCTCTTTTATTTTTATTTTTTCCTTCATCCTGATACGAATGATTTAGAAATTGGCACAAATCTGGGTCTGGTGCTATGGGGGGTTTTTGAGTAGAGGGGATGGCTTCTCACTGTGTATCCACATTTGCTTTGTAAGTCATTTAGTCCCTTCATGTGGCCATGAAACAGAGTAAAACTAACTGACCTACCTTGAAATTGAAACTCTAACCTTCATCAGTTTTTACCCCTCAGTTCAATCACCTGAGCTAAATAGGCAAATAGTACTTTCGAGTAAAAATGGGTCTGCCTCCAAAATTACAGACTTAGCTTTAATATTTGTGTATGTCTTTTTTTTATACAAAAAATGTTTCTGATAATGTATTAAGCCCAACATTTAATCATATAATTTATTTTCTTTATTAAAATGATGTGAAATCAAACACATAGGCATATAATCCACAAATGAAAGTGCTAAAATTATAGATCACTTTTTTCTGTGTTCTCAAACCATCTACACTGTTTCTGTATTTTATTTTAATAAAAAGTTAAGATGTTACTTTTTTTCAATACAGCCATGAAGACTATAGATTTTCAAATTTATGAGTATATTGGAGGATTATGAAATAATTTGTAAAAGGGTCTCTCATTCATGCCAGCTGATAGCATGTGTAATAGGGAGCCCAGAATGCAGCCTCAAACAATCCTCAAACAATATAATGAAAAAAAAAAAAAGCTAAAAATTTAGCAACTAGCATGTGATGATGAACTTATATGAATATTAAAATATTTCATTTCTTACCAAAATTATTTTTTACAAATAACATAAAACCCATGCTTCAAAGTTGTAAGGTAGTGATCAATGAAGAAAAAAGTGGCATGGTGATTAATACGCAAGACAACTGATATAATTATCCATAAAATAATTACATTGGAGCTGTGACATTTAATTAAGTATAAGCAATCTCAATTACACTAAAAGTGAAACATAGGAACTCCAACTAGATTCTAATTCTGGGGAAAAGTTTTTATCCTCTAAGGAGAAAAATCTGGTCTATACTCATATATTAGATAGTTAAGGATTTAATAAAAATATGAACTACTTGTTTTTGCTGATTTTCTCAGATTTATTATCCCAAATGGTCCAGATTTTGACTTTATTCACTTGTTTATCTTAGATAAGAAGCCTCTGTTTCTTTGTATCAAGTGCTAAAAATGCATGCAGCTTAGTGGGTCTTAGGAAAATTCCAGGTGAATCAAAGTGCTCAATAATTTTATTTAAAAAAACTGTGATGTTTAGACTAATTAAAGAAATATGTAAAAAGAAGATCAAATAAGGAATTTTGTTGGAATTCATAAAGATACTTCTCAGCTCTTGGAATTAAACCCGTCTTTCTCTCTACCTAGCCTGGTGCCATCTCCAAAGAGAAAAATAATAGGGACATACAACTTAGAATAGCTCAAAACCTAAGCCTCACCTTGTGGCCCCAATTGAATTACTCAGTCCCCAAGCCCAGTAAGGCTCCAGAGAGTTATGGCTATATTTATTTGTCCAGAGGTACAGTTGTCCAAGGAAGAACATGTAGTGGACTATAGGCAACAGCTCTTAGTTATATTTGATTTCATTTTAAGTACAGGCTTCAATTAGCTGAACACTTTACTTTTCTAATTATACTCAATTTTGGAATTTATTTCATTTGACTATTAACTCATTTTGGAAAAACAGCAACAAGTGAAAAACAGGAATCCTTTCATAGAAAACCAGCCACTTACTGTTTTCATGAAGTCTTGAGATAGAGAACTGAAATGACTGTCCCCGCTCCCCTGTTTCTGTTTGCCTTGTAGCATTATAGTTTACCTTCTAATGACATGTGAGCTGAGTAACAAGTCTTTTCATTCACACTACAGGACCAGGACCTCTCACTTTCAAGGGCTAGCTACTCCCGCATACTCACTCAAGGTCAGAGTCACGCTGTACCAATCTGTACAACACCTTTACATAGACTGATCGGAGGAGGACTATGTAGACTGTCAGTGCTCCTCTGGACAACAGCATGTTCCAAGGGAAGATTTGTCCCAGGAAATATTTACCCTAAATTGAGTTGTTGTCATATTGGGCTGACTGTTTTGATAATAATCAAACGATGCTAAAACTAGCACTAGGTATAGCCTAACTGGGAACTTGGGAAATCAATTTCACATTCGGTGTAGTTTAAATTAATTCTGTTTACTTATGTGGTGAAAA